GATGTTTATTAGTTATCTACGCCCTCACACCCTGTAATTCAAAACATCGATGAAAAATCGTAGCAAGAATTTGTGCAAATACGATCGAAAAGAACTCCACGTGACTATTGTGCATTATCGACTTTGCATCGTTGCAGAACGTGCAAATCTCTTCTTTTACTTATTTCTCTTGATTGAAAAAATCATCCAGCAATTGTTTTTAATGTGTGCTTTCGTCTGTTTGTCTTTGTCACACTTAATCATTTGAAATTATTGTTAAGAAGAAACAACAACGTCGATTTCTCCATACAAAATGACAAAAAAATGTTGGATCGAATCGTGCAGAGATCGAGCTGAAGCATATTGTGGTCATTGTTCATATGAGGTATGTCATTATCATTTCATGGAACACAAAAATTGGTTACAAGGACAACTATTACCATTGATCAAGCAGGTGAACATAATGTTCAATCGATTACAACGATGTGATATAGACCAGTCGATGTTTTCGCTAAACTGCTTGTCGAATGCTCGACGTCAGCTTGATCAATGGCGTTCTGACACTGTCCGTCACATCGACGGCGTCTACGACCGAGCTTTGCAACAAATGACGATCAGCTTAGAGAGGCACAAACAAGAAATGATGGCGACAAACCAGCAAAGTCTAGATTCACTTAGTCGACTACGTCGACAGCTAGATGACCTACTGAGAGAAAGAGATATTGCATATGAACAATTGCAAACGATGAGACAACAAATGGAGGAAATCAGAAGAAAGGAACAGATACAGAACAACCATCCGGATGTTCGTGTTCTGACCGAAAAACCCGAAGTGGAAAACTATGTCACTGTCATCTTTGAGCAGCAACAATCGTACGAAGAATTATACCGAGATAGAACGATGAAAACGTCGCTCTTTAACAGGTAAATGTCTGACTTTCGATGAGTTCTCTAGATCCAACTATTTTCATTTTCATTTTTTTTAGAGATGAAGACCGCATTTCTTCATCCAGTGATTCTGATGACGAAAAAGATCGAAAACAAGAGATCACCAAGAAGACTTTTGATTTCAAGTGAGTATGTTGTTCACGAATGGAATAACTTTAAGGATATTGATTTGTATAGGAAAACATTTCGTCGTCCAAAACTACCTTACATACGCGATGTACGTCCGAACACGCAGATAAAACGCAACCAGTATCGTGATCGTGTTGCCTATGCAAATGAACACACTAGAAGGAGAATACCAGCTTGAGAAAGAGAGAGCTGCATCGTCTTGCAACACCATTATTGAACACAAACAAAAAGACATTGTGTCGTTGACTCGCTTTTTATTTTTGTCATTTTAGTTTATAATCAATAGAAAAACAGAAAGAATTCTTTTCGAGAAACAATATATAGAACGTGGATGGGTGAAAATTTTATTGAATAATTTGAAAAAAAAAATTTTTACATAAAATAGAATGTCTATGTTTTCATGAATTTTGTTGGTGGTAATTGAAATAATTGAATTTGTGTTTGTGTTAGAGATCCTTCTAAACCCAACATTTGTGTTATAATACCTATACGTTGATTTCGTCTAAAATGTATTATATTGAAAAATTCTGTTCGAAAGAGTCGACTTGATAAACAATGAATATAGAATGAAGCCTAAAATTTCATAAAAAATAATTTGTAATCTAATATGATTAAACTTACTGAATAATTGATCGATGCAACGAAAATAGAAATAGTATTAAATTCAAGTTGTTGTTGTACTGAAAGTCTTGGTCGAAGAACATAAATCATAAGAATATTGAAAAGACTCAATGGAATTTGTGTAATGAAAAAGAGAAAGATACTAGTAAGCATAATTATTAACATTTGTCGATCGAGAAAAGCACGACGACCTTGTTTTAATCGTTGTTGCTGTTGTTGCTGACGACGAAGTCTAATAAATATATTAATACTTAATCCCAGAAGAAATATTGTTGGTAAGATTATTTGAAGACTCGTTAATAGAATAGGCCAAATCTAAACAAAGAATTCAGAAATATTTTGTATATTAGCAAATAAATTTCAAATCAATGAATATACGTTTGAGTAAAAGTATTGATATGTAGCACTTGCTGAAGAACCAATGGCACACGCAGTTGAACCAGGTACAACACCTGTTGAAGGAAATGCTAAATGAAAATTGAGTAAAGCAGAACAAATAACGATAACACATGCACCAATAAGTACTCTTCTTCTTGTACAGAGTTGTTTAACTCGAAAAGGAAATCTAATACGAAGCCATCGATCAATTGTAATTGTTAATAATAACCAAGCTGTACAACACATTGAAAAATATTGAATATATGTATAAATACGACATAATAGATTCATCAAGCTGGTATTTGTTGTGGGAACACCAAGACCAAGAAAAATGTATTGGTAGAAACACGTTATTAGATAGACTATATCGGATATAGTCATGCATACAAATAGACAACTCGTCGAAACACTACGAAGAGTTCGACGAAGAAATATTGTAATAGTTGTAGCATGACCAAAAAAGCCAAAGATAAAAAGAATACTGTATCCATACAAAGCTACATGCCTTTGGAGGGGTGTAATCATGGACGAACCAAAGTCTGGTGGAGGACCCATTCCACCGCCACCACCACCAGGAGGAGGACCCATTCCTCCGCCGCCACCACCACCAGGAGGAGGAGGATAATTATTACTAGTACTAAAATTCATCTATGTTTATAGATACGTTGTAGATATGAAAATAACAAAGAGTCTTTCATATATATATGCATTAAGACTACTCACTGATGGAAAGCTGTCGCAGACAGATAAGTCTGTAAATGATTTTTGTCTTGATTAGATGAGCGTGCATATATTTACATTTAATATTCATGTCAGAAACGGATTATTAATGTATTTTTGTCCGTCAAGCATATTAGATATTGTATTGAACGAACGTGATAATTTTCATATAGCTTGTTTTAGAATTATAATCTTAAAATGTGATAAATAGTTGTGAGCATTAATGAAATAGAAAACTAAATTTGTTTTGTAAATACTTTAATCGTTGGTATATTGATTGAGTAGTACGAATAACTTTTATCTCAAAAAATTTTGTTTCTACTTTTTGATCTCTAGTGAAATATCTATGGCAATTATGACAGATGTTGATTAAAAACAATCAACAGCAGATGAACGATTTAATTATTTTTCTTTTTACTCTATAGAATTTAAATATACGAGAAAGATTCAAAATTGATAGTGATGGAAAACCATCTTCTCCATTCTGAAAGCTCCGCCGATATGATTGAGTCAATGACAGTCATTGCATCAATATTTCTTCTTTCAACAGATATCTCATCGGTTTTTTAGTATAAGAGAAGAAAAATATTTTATAATTTAAAATGAATGTTCTATGACATATTTTGATTGAAGATTATTTAAAAATAAATATTTGCATGTTGTCAAGAATGAACTTTTAGAAATTATTTGAGAAAGAAAAATTTTGCTAAAGTGTTATAAACAGATAAATTCTTTTTTAATTTCCATCATCTTCTTAGAAGAATATTGCGTCGTTTATTTATCAAAATATCGAATAATAAAGAATTAATTTTCAATGAAATAAGTTTCAACACTAAATAATAATTACAGCATATTATAGTAGGTCCTCTATCTGGATTATGAACTATTTAGTTTTAATGTTCTGATAAAAAATAATCTCAGTAATCTGAGTTTGAGAACAAAAAAGAACACACTTATTGATTTATCACTTATATTATATATAAAAGTTAAAAAAATTAATATTCTTATGTATAGATCAGAGCATTGTATAGAACGAAATACATTTGTCTTCGATATACTCTAATATTTACTCACCCACACCCTCAATAGACCTATTTACATATAAGCCTTCATACGGAAATTTTTTGATTTTAAAATGAGTTAGCCTATTCGATAGAGCATAAAAAGTCATTCTGAGAACCAAAATTTTTAGTCCTTCCTGAAAATCTTATTAAGAGATATGAAATAATCTTTAAGCCCTACTCAAGTCCTACTCGTGAAATTTGATGATTTTTCAAGTAATGAGATCTATCACATTCTCTTGAAAAAAAGAGATTTTGATAGAAGCTTTGATAAAACTATTCACTGTATTGCAGAACAGATGATGCATAATAATTGATATACAAGCCATGATTGAAATATTTTGCTTTATTTTCTAGGTTCTTGCAAATGTGACATTAACAGATCAGAATGTCCTTGAAATCAATTGTGGTAGAGGTGCTGGTGCTGCATGGTGTGTTCATACTCATGCATTGCACTCTTACATTGGAATAGATTCTTCTCCAGATGTCATTATGATGGCATCGTTTCCAGCGAAAATGAACTCAAAGAATAATCAAAAACTTGTTATTTCCTCCGCCTTTCTTAGTTATCTTTAGTAAAGATGTTCTCTCAAACATGAGTACACGTATTTTTATAGTTTTATTTTTACGAAACATTGTATTAAATTTTTGAACGACCAAAAATTTGCATTTCAATAGAAAATAGTTATGGGTCGGGTCAATCCCAGTGAACTCAGCATCTATGACATCGGTATTCAGTACCGTGAAATTACAAAACCCTAACACAAACTAATACTATTTTTTGGCGTAGCCCCTTATAAAATCAAAAACTAAGTAGTATTACTAACAGATAATGGAACCTAACTTTCATCTGCACAGGTCTGACTAAGGAGGTGCTGTATTCATGCGCAGTAGTAAAACGGAAAAATAATGGTGAAATCTGATTGGCTTGAACAGACAGACAGGTAGACAAATTTTATGCATTTGAAGCCGATGATTTAAACACTGTATAACACTTTCTTTTCGATAAGGAAAATATGAAATCTGATATTGAATGAACAACCACTAATCGAGGTTCAGTAGCATTTATTTACGACTTCCAAAAATATTGAAAAAGAGTGTGGGTTTGAATATTATTTTCTTCTGAGACCACAATCAAACTCACATCATCCACACCCTTCGATGTTAGCATGGATGACAGTAAGACAGATTGAAATCCGTTCTTACAAGTACTTCGTTTGGAGTGGCAAACATTGCGGTTGTTAGATATCTGAGCACATGATCTCCCCACCGATATCGAAATATACCAAAACTTTCGTCCACTGCATTAATCCAATGAGTAACAAGTTGACTTTTGAAAAACTCGACTTTGAATATATCAAAATTTGTATTATGTAAGCGTATATGATTGGGAATGTCAAAAGCTCGTGTCAATCTGATCGGATTTTTAGGAATTATCCCATATTTCTTTTGATAGTCAAGTGTAAATGTTTTCAGTTTCATTAGACCAGGTAATATAGCTTCGGTATCTGCTTGTTCTACGTTAGCAAAATTGACCGCCGTTTTATTTTTCATCAGCTCAAAAACATTAAACCAAACTCCCATTACTTTTGAATCACTGTCAAGTCTCATAACATAGTCATATTTATTAATTAATGGAATATCCAGAATAAGTTTGAACCAAAATCGACACATATGATGATAATTCCATTTACCTCGTTTTGACCAAGTTGGTTCTTCTAGATAGGGATCGAATCCTTTCGGAAACGATGTAAATATGCCGTCTATATTATAGAAAATAACTTGACGTTTAGTGGTACTGGCAAACGACTGTAAATGGACTTTCGAAGGATATGAAGTGTGGAAAATAATGATGTCTGCCGTCAAATTATCAGAAATATACGCATCAAGCACTTTTACCTTAGGCGCTAAATCCATTATAGATCCTTCAAATAAAATAGCAATTGCATTTTTTCTTGCCGTTGGCGATGGATTCCATATTGACAGTAAGGGTGTTGCCGCTGGAGTTTCACACTGTAAGAAACGTCTATAATCTTTGAGTATTTGTCTGTTTGATCTGCTGTAAGTATACCCGATGACTATGAGGAATAATAGAACAACTAGACATTTGATGTATACACGACTATTGGACGTTCGAAAATCTTCCATGAATATTTTATGACGAGAAAATCTAACAATATTCGAAGGGTATAAAGTATCGGCAATTATTTTGGTTCGTCGAGTTATCCGAAATAATCAAAGAAATCTGAAGAAGAAAGTATGCAATACGATACAAAAATTCAACATTTGTGAAATCAGCCACAGCATACCTTTTGATGTCGCAAAAAAAAACATTCACATTTTCTGTTCTGTACTTTTTTTCATTTTATTCTTATCATAACATACACGAATGCCTAAAACTGTTCGTCCTTCATGCATTTCTATGGGATTATAAAGAAACAAGAATTTCAAGGTGAAAAAAAGAGTGCCACTCATGAAGCCTACTATAATCTATACTGAGCATTGTGAGAGCTGAAACTGTTTTTCAAAATATTGGTCGTCGAGAAAAATGGTTAGAAGTTAAAATAATTATAAATTGGCTTATCTTTTAATCACTGTGTCTAAATCTCAAGAAGGAAGCTGCAGAAGTTTATGTGCATGAAATAAAAGGTTTCAATCGAAAAGGTATTTCCAACATTCTAGTTGAGTTTTCGCTCTCTAATCACTAATACTTGTTTTAATCTATGAAAGTAGTAAATATTTAGATAAGATCTTCTATCCGTATAATTAAGTATGACTCTTAATTTTGTTACTATAGATGTTGACTCGTCAACAGCCTTCTACTTCTACAACACGTCTCACTCAGGTCAAATATTGAGTACTGGTCTGCAAAACAGTTTTATTTTGGTTTATATTTCAATTCTAGAGATTTCGACTATTCTTCACTGCATCTGGCAGATTCTATCCACAGGCACCGTCTCCTGTTATAGTTACTTACTGGCAGTTGAACGTGTGAGAAAATCGAAGCGACTGTTGATCTTTCTCTTTTTTTACTACTCCAATGCACCTTAGTAAAATTGAGTAAACAGAGAAGTAACTGCAGCGTCTATAGATAGACGAGAGTGAAAACTCACCCGGTAAAAGGAAAAATAAAAATCAGTAAATAGACGAGCGGAGAAAAAATTCTAAGTAAACAGAGAGCAGCAGAAATTCAGCAAATACACAAGACTAAAAAATCAATTAGGCAGAGCGGAGAAAGTAAACTCACTATTCTAGAAAGCTGAAAAATCAAACTGCTAACAAGAGAATATTTTTAGGTGCACGACTCCAATTTCGTTCGTTCTTGAGGGTGTGGGTGTGGGTATGACAGACTGTAGAATAATAGACACCCACATCCACCCACCCACACCCACACCCTCAAGACTTTTACTCGATTTTATATTATGATATTAAAATAGATAAGCAATACATAAGCAGTTGATCTACTCGACGACAGGGATTGTTTGATTTCTGTCAATATGGTCTGCTTCCATCCGATTGTGAGTATATCATTTTCATTACATATCGTAGCTAGTTGCGTTGTTTGCTTGTTAAATTATTAGATACTCCTGGTATGAAACTTTATCAGAAATTCGTAAGACCAAGTAAGTCCACTCATATCATTTCTCCAAGTTGAATTGTATTAAATAAATAGCAAACTTCTCCTTTCCTGCAAAAACAATGTGGTCAATTAGAACTGCTAAATATAAGGCGCAAATTACTGATGGTCAAATAACAAGTGTTACTGTAGAATTGATCGAAGGCGGCGTAACTATTCATTCTCGTACAATAACCCAAGAAGAGTACCAACGAGGTTAGAATAATTTATTCTTAGAAATATATTACTTATGTAATCTTTTGTTTATTCATTCTATTGTAGCAAATGTTTCTTCATCAGTTCAGAAATTGGCATGGGATGATTTCTTACAAGTCTTGCAAGTATTCATGTTAGGCAATAATCAGGAACAAGAATCCGACATTGCACGCGCCTTCGACATTTTCGACCGAGGTAAAAGAGGCCTCTACAACCGAACAACCTGTCTACCGGATGGTCTAATTTCACCTGATGAATTACGAGCCTTTTTGTCAACCCTTACCGATGAAGTAATTTTTAATTTAATTGAAAAGTTAAGTTTATTTGTCTTTAATCATTGTTTTGTTTTAGTATCGTGTTGATCTTTGTGTTTTTCTGGCTGATATAGATGGATCTAGCCTAATCAACTTGCCTGAATTTACTCGAATGGTCAAATCGGGATTGGCAAGAGATATTATCTACGAATGCGTCTAATCGTCTGAATGATAACTATCCTTTGAATAAATTTTACAAGACTTTTTAAAATGCTTTTGAAGGGCATGCTTTTTTTTATCGAGATTATAGAATAAAATTTAGTAAAAAATTAAAATGGTTTTTATATGAAAAGAGAAAACTGCCTTATTCTTTTTCTATTATTTTTTGTAAATGTCAATAAAACGTTAAGAATGGATTGATACATTTAAAGATAAACGTGTAAGATAC